GRMAACTCAAAAGTTGCGTGTTTCGCAGACAACACAGAGCTAATAAAGTACGTGAACTCGGATTCAGACGCYGCGTTACTCCAGCAAGATCTCARCAGCCTAGAAGACTGGTCAAAAACATCTGACCTAATGTTCAATCAGGACAAATGCAAATGTCAAAAAATTACACGGAAGTCCCACCCCATCGAAGTCCCATTCCACCTGAACGGGTCGCTGCTTACAGTCTCACGAGAAAGACCTGGGTGTCTGGGTCGCCAGCGATCTTACGTGGTCAAAGCACGTCACAGGCTAACAAGCTGCTGGGCTGCATACAAACTCGCCGCACCCTTTATTTGGCAGTGGTGCGCCTAGCCTTGGGTTACKCTACCCAGGTCTGGTGCCCACCATCAGTTAAACTGATAGAAAAGCTAGAAAGAATGCAAAGAAGTGCCACCAAATATATCCTAAGCCTCCCGTTCTCTGCACAGAGAGCGTCCCGTCCTCTGCACAGAGAGCTACACTGAACGCCTTCTCTCTACTAACTTGTTGCCACTGTGCTACTGGCACAAGTACTTAGATCTAGTCTTTTTTTTATAAAGCCATTAATGGCCTTGTTCTGATATCTCAAGAGTGCCTCCCTACTTGTATCAAACCAGTCAGAACTACAAGATCTACTGTTAATCCAAATGTGTTTTCGTCCTCCCAGGTGTAACTGGAAGACTTTGCCTGAACATTTCTGACTAAAGAGCCTAAGCTTAAACCAGTTTAAGTGCTTGCTTTTAGAATATTACAGTCGAGCCTTGACAATATCATCATTTTGTTATTTGTCAGTGTGGATTTTCTTTCGGTAGATCGAAATCTTGATAGAGGCGTCATCAAGGACAGTATTCAGTGTATCTAGGAATGGCAGTCCATCGGGTGAGTATCTTTCTAAGGTTAACTTGATGTTCTTTTTATCTTGTGCATTTAGATGTTTATGGAACCCGTCAATATGATCGCAGACTGTATCATCAACGTAGCGTATATAGACTCTAGGAGGACTGATAAAGGTCTGTAGGGCTTTCTCTTCCACGACGTCCATCACTAAATTGGCGACCACAACAGATACGGGRCTTCCCATAGCTGTACCGTGCAYCTGCTTGTAAAATGTGTTCTTAAAAGAAAATTCAGTAGTTTTCAAGCAAAAGGATAAAAGTGATGGAACGTTCTATGGTGTTAATTGCGTTCTTCCTGGCAGAGAATCGTCAGTGTCAAGTCTAGCCTTTGCAGCATCAACAGCAATTGGTGTGGGGATAGAKGWAAACAGTTATACAACATCAAATAACMCAAGCTCTCCATCATCATTTCGTATTAACTTCTTTGCAACATCCGTCCAGTCTTTGCTGTTATGAAGGTGGTGTCGGAGGTTTGYAACAACTCTGGCGATAGAATTGACACAAGGTATTTCGATAGTTGGTATGTAGGAGAACGGATATAGCTAAGGCAATAGGTCGCGTCAGCGTTCCATCCTTATGAATATTTGGGATTCCATATAATCTGTTTTTCGTGTAATGTATCATTGTTGTTGTTTTCCTTATTTAGCGCGCGTTTAGCACGCGCTTGATTAAGCGCGCGTCTCAAGCGCCTGCATATTTTGTTTGTATTCGTAAATTTCTTACCGTTTTTTATCCTTCAGACCATTGTAACCCTGAGGATGGGCCAATAGRCCYGAAAGCTTAATAAATAAAACAWACTTGATTGATGACACATGAGTACCATAAGTTTTTAAATGTTCAGAATTTCTTTGTACGCAGGCATAATAAGATTATTATAAGCCTTACGAATGAACAACTACCCGAAGSAATTTATAAACAAATACAAGCATGTTGGACGTGATCATGAAACGAGAGACCAAGGCACTCTACCAGAGGTGAAAGGATTTGCAGTTTTACCATATGTTAAAAATGTAACGGAGAGAATCAGCAGACTCCTAACACAACATAACATCAGAGTAGCAAGTAAATCTGTTAATACCATTAGACACATGGTTTCAAGACCAATCGATTATTATTATTATTATTTTACAATACTACATCCCTTCCYTGGGAAGCTTATATGTAGGGTGTTCAGACAAGTTTACAAGTGTTCTAGAAGACTTCTAAAGGCCTCGTGGCTACCATTTGCATGATGGAAGATTTCTTCTGGTAACTCATTCCACTCTTTTACTGCATGGTTGTAGAATGAGAAGCTGTATGCCAGAGTCTTGCTGGACAGGGGCTTTAGCGTGTGTTTTTTGTATGCCTTGATTGTCTTTGAGGTCTTTGTACGAGCTCATTCTCCTGTCCATTTATGATCTTCAATAGGAGGACAAGTCTACTGATTGATCGTCTCTGCTGGAGCGATGGCCAACCAAGCTGAACGCCAAAATAGAACAAATATTGATAGCGAAGTGCATAGTTTTTGAAAAAAATGTGATAACGCCAAAAGGACAGCAACGTAAGATTAAAGGATCTATTCGTAATGTGCCAGTGCAATGTGATGAGACTTGTAATATTCTGCCTCGTCCTCCTGAAAGTTCTGGCATTATTACGTTGAAGTTAAAACGGAAGCTACAGTTTAGACGTCATGTGTATTTTGAAGCAGTCAGACGAGCATTTATACATGCAGCACTTACTTAGCTCAAAGCAAACAACATGTTATATAAAGATATTGCAATTGATTGTACAAATATTGACAATGAGCACGCAGATATTATGCATAATGAAACTGAAGATGATATACAAGCAGAATTTGTGACGAAATAACAAATACTGCAGATAACGCTAATAACAATAATATCAACAATGTTGATTCTACAGACACAAATACTGACATTGAAACATTGAATGAAGAACAAAATGACCCCAAATGCACAAAGATCACCAACTAATGAAACATSTTTACAMGAAATTTGCCCAGACTACCCAGTTATTTTGGAAGAAAGCATTTCTACTGGACAAGAGATTTACAATGTTGAACCAGGTGAAAATAAACATCCAGTATTTTTGATGACTGACAAACATGTGAAGAACTTGCATTCCCTGTATTGTTTCCTAAAGGTAGATTTGGATATACTGAAGAAAGAGATATAAAATTATCACCGGTTAAGTATTTTAATACAAGATTATCAGTCRGGCTAGCCACAGGCTAGGCCGACTGTAGTTTTACTTTTTTGCCAATCTATCTATCTATCTATCATGTCGCGTTTGGTCACYGGAAGTCTAAGTATGCAGTCCAGAAGTAATCAAAGACATGTAAACTCGGGCCGGGATGCCTGTGRCATACGTCACGTGACTTTATATATTGAAGTATGTCATTATGGCATTTGTACGTCATATCCGTTGAACCTGCAGTGTTTCATCATTTGGTACTACATTTTGCGTGATTTACATACTAATATTTTTGCTTAATGAGAACCATGTGGGAAGAACTGTTCTACATGAAACTGATTGATAATCATGAGCATGCTCAGAGTAGTAAAACGTCCAATCCAATGACGTATTGAAGTTAGTTGGGCACAGGTAGCCCAGAATTGTAGATAAACGAGAATGATCAGGCAATCACGTGCACACCTAAGTACATGTCAACTTAAATTACCCATAATTTCCTGGTTTGTTAGCACAGGAATACCAAAGTCAAATGGTCATACATATTATCCATAATGCTTTACTTTTAAGTAAAACTTGTCACATGGTGCTATGCTTGTGCTGTTGTTTCATAATGAGACGTTTTTCAGCCGTCTCTCCCACACACTATATAAGAGAGACACGCGATTCCAATGGAGGCCWTTCTCTAGAAGTTGCCGAACTAGTATCATGACTGATCAAGCTCTAGATGGTGAAGGCGAACCTCAAGTTCCTGAGAGAGTTGAGAGAGACACTGATGAACCTCATGCTGTGCCTCCGGTAGTTCCTCCGGCTGCCCCTGTGCAAGAACCCCAAAACTTTGAGGTTTGTAGTAGCGTYAATTCGCTATGTTTACTTTAGGTCTTAGTATTTTGGCATTCTAACTTTTGCTCGCATTAGCACTTCTTTCTTGCTTTCCTAATTTAGCTCGTGGTCTTATTCTATTCTGCATTCATTTGCATTTCACTGTACGTTTAGTTTGTCTAACCCTTTTCAACCCGGTTTTTATAGTTATTTATCTGTACAGTTTATTCTTAGTAGATATATATTGGCTTGTTTTCAACGTATTCACGTTATATTATGTACCGAATTGAGAATTGTAGGTTTTGCTGTCATTGTTATTCACATAATACAGAACGTTTTATTATTTACATTGTTGCCTTGCTTSAAACGTATTGCCGAAATGTAGGCTTTGCAGGTATTGTTGTCAGAACAACTCGCTTCTGTGACTAAATCTACTGGACATGAGAAAGCTGCAAGTTAMGACATAATTTCCGCCTCGTTACGTGAGAAAATGTCTTTTCCAGCCCTCCAATTTAAAGCTTATTTTCTAGCGCTTTTAACGGATAAAGAGTTCACAAGAATTATCGATACCATCTCTAAGGTGGACAAGTCATTTAATCGCGCATCAACGGCTTCAGGAGGAAGACGACGGGGTGGTTTATATAGACCTTCCCATACAACCGAGTAGTATGCTACAAGTGTGGCACCCCAGCCCATAAATCTCCACAGTGCTGGTCACGCTGGCCCCCTCAAGGTGGTCAGCCCCAACCTCTACTACGAAATCAGCRGCCACGTCCTCCACGCCCTTAGTAACAACTGGAAATACTATGCTATTCATTTCCTCTCTATGTGTCAATATTAAATTATTTAGTCTATCCTTGTAAAAGGAGAACTGAACATCATCATCATCATCATAACTCTTCGCGCCAGTAGGCGCATAAGGCCTTCACCCCCTGTTTCCATCCATCTCTATCCCTTGCTGCCATTTTGGCTTCATTCCAAGTCTTCCATCCTGTCCCTTTCTTTCAGCACCGTTCTTCTCCAAGTAGTCTTTGGTCTTCCCCTTGCTCTTCTTCCTGCCGGTGTACATTCTATAGCTATCAAACAGTCACTTTCACTTTCCCCTCTGAGGATATGAACTTGAACTGTCTTTGATATTTCTATCATTGTTCGTACATTCCAGCATCCAATCATTATATGGTTCTTGGGTGTTACTACTGAGCCCATCGGTCTACAAGCTTCCTTTCGGCTTTGCTCAATTGACGTCATTCTATAAGCTTCAAAAKCAGCACTCCTAGTTACAGTTTGGTAAGCTTGGGTGTAGGTTTCAGTAACAATTTTTACGAGGCAGGGCTGTTAAMCCTACGCWCAACCCCCAACCTGGAGAACYAGAGGATCACACTTAGTCAGGTCCCTACTCTTCGACTTGTTCGGCATGGGTGGCCCTACCAGGAGTTCAAGACTAGTCCAGCCGACATAGCTCTCCAGGTCATTGGGGYACACAAACAACTCCACMACGATAAGGAGTTGAGAACTGGAGTTGAGAACTGAACATACATCTCAATAACTTTATAGTTTTGCTGGAGATTTCAAAAGCATGGATGAGTGCTGTCTTGATAGGCTAGGTTCTGGTAGGACAGACGAGCCTGGAGTTGTCTTCAACTCAAATGATACCGAAAGAGCTTCTTTATAAGCTACTCAAGGGCTTCAGGCCAGTAACAATGAACGAGCTCTCTTAGGAGCTAATAAGGGGCAGACCATTAATTCTACCAGGAGTTTGCTTGGTGGTAGTCGAAAGGCTGGAAAAAGGGGCAAGACTAAACATCGGTGGACTCTATGTGGATAGTTGCACTAGGGTTAGACAGAAAATATGTTCAAGAACAACCCGAGTCAGTTGTACAAGGAACTGGGGGGTAGGGGGAACTTAGGGCCAACTGAAGCACCTGATGTTGTATGGTAGGTTGGAGTAAGAACTGGATAAGTTGGTTGAAAGCACCCTAAGAAGAGGGTGTAGAAGGAGAGGAGGAAGAATTTTCTGCAGAAGAGGCTTCACGGAAAGTTTATGAGAGATGTGAGTGAAGTGGCTGATGAAAGGTCATGGCAGTGGTTGAGAGAAGTGTATTTGGGAAAGGGCACTGAGGTATTTGGGAAAGGGCACTGAGGGGTTTGTGTTTGCAGCACAAGAACAGGCTTTGAGGACGAGGTTTATCCGAGACACAATCCAAAGAGAAGCTGTTGATCCAAAGTGCAGGGTTTGTGGTAAGGAGGTGGAGTCATTTGGCGTGGTTGTAGTGGGTTAGCTCAAAAGGAATACAGGAGGAGGCATGGAACATAATCGTCCGGATGTTACTGTGTCGAATCGGGCGGCCCAGGMGTGGACGTTCGTTGATTTCTCGGTGCCTTGTGACAAGAACGTGGTGTTGAAGGAGAATGAAAAGGTTGCCAAGTATGCAAGAGGAAGATAT